CTTCTTCTTCTTCTTCTTCTTCTTCTTCTTCTTCTTCTTCTTCTTCTTCTTCTCCTGCTTTTTATTCTTCTTCATTCCAAAAAAAACAAACAACCCCAAGCGACAACTACGACCACACCAACAAATCCCCATTCTTGCTATGCTCGTCATTATGTACTACTACTAATAATAGATAGCATTTGTATAGCTCAAATCCCCGCTCAACATCACGCTCCATGCAGACCCGAGAGCATTCTGAAACAACCTCAACTTCCTGGGAAGCATACAGTGCAAGCAGCCATTTATAGGTGCTGAAACACTAACAAAAGGACAAGATCTTTCCCTGTAAATAGCTGGGTACCCATTCCCACCTGGGTGCAGTGAGGAAAACTCGTGTAAAGTGCCTTTCCCAAGGACACAACGTCGGGCCCGCGGCTCGAACCCCCGAACCCGCAACTTCACGATTACTAGTCCGGTAGCATAACCACTAAGCCACCGACCTAATGTACTCTATCATTACTTCACTGTGTTTATCCGCCCCCTCCCCGTTTCATTGTTGACTAAAAGAAAATGAATACAATGACATTCAACACCATCATAATATGAATGCCTTATCATTGTTGTGTTGACGTATATTTATTCTCCACGACAGTGTTCCTCCAAAACTGATTCTCTGCCATTTTTTAAAAGAATTTATTGATCTGAAGAAGACATTTTAATTTTAGAAAATAATTTGGAGGCAACGTGTTGAAATCAGACGCTCTTCAAAATAACGGAAAACGGTGAAACAGGCATTTTCCCGCCAGACTGGAAATTTTTATCACATTTTTGTTTTTTGGCTTCACCTCTTTAGTGTCCATATAAAACACATTTCCCTGTGAACTTTACAGAAAAACATTGATTAAAGGAACAAAATTAATATGTCATTTTTCAGTTTAAAAAGACTCTTTTGCTATCGGAGTTACCGAAATTTGGCGGTACATTTGCTCGCTGATTTCACCGCTGAAAACAGGCAACTTCACTTCTTTCAATAGCTAATATCTTGAGTTCTATCCCAGATAGACGGATATATTTACTTCACTGGAAGCAAGGCAAATAAACAGTTTTCAAATGATACCAATAAGTCCACATGTCCAAAAATTGACGAGCGCCTGATTCCACTGCGTCGTGTGTGTAATAACGGCTTGCTCTGCTGTTTGTATTTGAGAAAGGAGAAAGCTAAATGGACATTTCTCGTATTGTCTCTGTACAAACATAATATAAATGAAAGCGTCTCAACAAAAAGTGGTTTTGTAAAAAAAATCCCAAAGGGACAACCCCCCCCCCCAACAACAAACAAACAAACAAACAAACAAACAAGCAAACAAACAAACAAACAAACAAACAAACAAGCAAACAAACAACACTGTCACCATTGCTGCCTATCACCTATCATTATGATTCCAGATAAATCGACAGCCTCTTAACACAAGCTTTGGAATGGTAATCATTGATGGCCGGTACATCCGTTTCTCATTACTTCATAGGAAAAAAACCCAACCCCACAACAATAATGCTACTGGCCCGCGGCGGCAATTATTCCGCCAACCGCTTCTCTCATTCTGTTCTCGTTAGGTGTTACATTATTATTATAATATTGTGATTTACGTTTTAAGGGAACGATTGCTTGCATTGGCATTGTGAAAGATTCTTATTAGGTTACGTTTTTATTGAAGAAAGGCATAGCATTTTGTGTTGTCCATTAATAAACAGAAAACAAGACGAGTGGGGAAGAAAGTAGGGTAAACGATATGTAAGGAATATATCTCATCAATTCGTCCGATATGTTAGGAATATAACTCATAAATTCGACCCATAAATTATCAGCGCATTGTCAATGCGTCGTATGAAGAAATAAATACGCCCATTGTTTGTTTATTTGATCGCTTATTTAAGTAAAGGTAAGCTCACCCACACAAAAACGGTGATTTAGTGCTGAGGAGACAAACAGACAGACGGACCGAGAGAGAGAAACAACAAAGGTAAATACGGCACTTATATGACCTATTGTGTTGCAAGTGCCGTAAAACTCTGCATCTCTGTCTTTCTGTCTCTGTTTCTCTTTGCCTCTCTCTTTCTCCACC